TTAATTATTTTAGCATTTAAATATTATTAAAAGATTCTGTCAGTATGTCATCTATTAATAATTGGTAAAAAAAATATACATTAACCTAATGACATTGTATAAAGATTATGCTCATTCGCTGCTGTGTTGTTTTGTAAACAACACAAGGGTTTACTACTCGGATCATATACTTACGTATAACTTTCACTGTCTAAACCATTTAGCTTCTGCAGCAGAAAGATATGGTTGTTTAGATAAAGTCACAGCATATCCTTTTAAAAACAATGTCTTCAATAAAACGGTCAATACGAGGGACTTCAAAAATAGTTTTTCAGGTTGCTGGACGACTTGCAGAAAAAAATAACATCATTTCCATGTATTTAAAAAAAAAAGAAAAGTAATGCTCCTATCAAAAATGAATGCTATTTACTTAAATCTAAAAAAAAATTGCTTCATTGACACTGAAATTAGAGAATTGAACAATTCAAAGAAAAACTGAAAACTTTTTTACTTCTCCTTGTAATTCAAAAATTTTGATATTCATCGATTTTATATTCACAGATATGATGTTTCTATCTTACGATGATGTTTCTATCTTACGATGAATTGCTATCAAAAGTGGTACTAATACCACTAGCTTATTTTGAACCTGATAATCCCACTTTATTTTTTTTTTTTAATAATTAAAATTTTAATTTATTTAATTTTTCTATTTTCTTATCTGTTAAGTTGACAATTACAAATTATTTTTGTTCAGTGAATACTTGTGTTTTTATAGTGTCTAAAATGCTATTATTACTAATAAGTTATTTTGCAATATTAATTTTTTGAATCTTTATTAATTTTGAAAGTTACTAACTGCAGTGGTTTTATAAAACAACTATGTGTTTAGGGAACATGGATTCAGTTGCGAAAGTTCAAAACATCGACAGGAAAAATATATACTTTTCATTGCACAAACTCAGGGAAAAAAATGTGAAAATCAGGTAAAATGGATTTTCAAAACTGCCATGAACCCTGGGTATGGAGTGTACTATATTATTTATATTATTATTTTTGGAAATTAAGTTAGTTTTTTTAATTTGATAATTATTACCATATTAATTTATATTAGTACACATAAAAATTGTTTTTAACAAACATAAAAACAATTATATATTAATAATAAAGGTGTTAAGTTTTTATAATAAATTTGTTTTATTAAATATATATCAATACTTGTGTGCTTTAGTTTAATTTGATTTTTAGTTTAGTTGATTGATTTGGTTAATACGAAATTGATCCCTAGGTACAATGTGCTGACGTAAAAACATAGTATTGAAAACATATATATTTTGAGAAAACTAATCAAAATGTTGAATTTCAGTAATAAACTCAATGCAAAGGCAAAATCTAAACCTAGAATACTAGAATAAATTGATAAACCAAAAATAAATTTTGAATCTCGGGTTAACTTGAATCTGATGAAAAGATTGTGTAGTTTGCTAAAGAAAAGTTTCGAGTATATTTTATATTATTTTTTACATGTTATAAATTTAAAATATTTATAAACAAACAATTTAGTTTTGTGTTTTTGCTAAAGAACACTTTTGAATTTATTTTAAAAAATTATTTTTTACACATAAATTTATAATAATTATAAACTTATAATTTCTTTTTGTGTTTTCGTTTTTGTCGAGTTTTTTTATTATATATAATAACAATCATAATTATATATATATATATATATATATATATATATATATATATATATATATATATATATATATATATATATATATATATATATATATATTTATATATATATATATATATACATATATATATATATATATATATATATATATATATATATATATATATATATATATATATATATATATATATATATATATATATATATTTAAAAGTGCTGTGATATTTTTTATATACAATGGTGTTTTAATATTTGAATAAAAAGGTTGAGTATAAAAAAGACAATTTATTTCTCGAAAGAATATCAAAATATGATATCAAATTTTAAGGTCGGGGTGACATCAATGTGTGATTTCATTTTGACATAATCATGATATCATGAACTTCTTAAAGTATAACATCACATTCTGAGTAGAGGATGATATTGACTTTTGATATCATGAGGTTCTCAAATTATGATATCAAATTTGAGCTCAAATTAATACAACTGTGTAATTTCATTTTGATATCATATTGATCTCATAATCGTATCATGCAATGATATCATAGATCTCACTGTATGAGATCAATATGATATAACTATAAAATCAAATGGCTGACTGGGTACTTAACTAAACTTAAAAGCAGAAAGAAACATCAACAAGCCTATGAGCTAGCTAAAATAGGAAAATTATTCCTTTATTTTGCTATTCCAAAATTTGTAAAGCAAAACATAATTTCAGTATTTTGAGCAAGAGATTTTTTATTTCTGAAGTCCAAAAAAATATCTCAACACAATAGTCTCAACTCAATAAGAAATAAAATTTATATTTTCAATTTGTAAAGCAAAACATAATTTCAGTATTTTGAGCAAGAGATTTTTTATTTCTGAAGTCCAAAAAAATATCTCAACACAATAGTCTCAACTCAATAAGAAATAAAATTTATATTTTCAATTTGTAAAGCAAAACATAATTTCAGTATTTTGAGCAAGAGATTTTTTATTTTTGAAGTCCAAAAAAATATCTCAACACAATAGTCTCAACTCAATAAGAAATAGCATTTAATACGGAAACTTTGCTTTCTCTTCTTTAATTATGTCACTTTTAAATCCATAGTTAACAATAAAACTTTCCTGTCCAATATTAGCACTCTAACCACAGAGTTATGGGTTTTTTTAAAATAGTATTATTGGTGGAACTAATATTTATAAAACATAGTTTAAACTATTTTTAGTTTAAACTAATTGTACAATAATTTTTAAATTTGAACTTTGTTGTGCTTTTATGGCTATGTAAAAAAATAATAATATTAAGCATAATATCAGCGCGGTCTGTGCATTTTTAATTAGTTTTCCAATTAGGGATCCGTATAACTGCTTCGTACAAGAGATGGGGATAAATTAATGACTTTTATAATAAGTTAATAATACTTCTATTTATAAACTGAAGTTTATGTTAAGTTCTTCATATTTGTTTATTGGCTTTATCAATTGCTAATCATATAATTTAATAGATTATAAATACAAAATTGTTGAAGTTATGCAATAGAAAGCAAAAGAAATAAGAAAAATGATCATGACATTTTTATTTTGAATGATGTTGATTGAAATCACCTTGGTGATACTAATTTATTTATAGCATGTGATAATACTAATTTATTTTAAGTATGTGCATATTGAAATGCGTATGTAACATTTTTACAAAGAATATTTTAGTAAATAAAATTTTCATTTTTTTATTTTATTTTTTTTGTTTTCCTAAAGACCATGCATATCTTTTACAGTATTTTATGTGGTGTGCTAACTATAAAAATTATTTTCGTATAACAAAACTAAAGGATTTATTGACACATAGGAAAAGGCGTTGTAAGATGGCGAATACTTTGAAAACCTTGAGTTGTTGCAAAACTATAAGCAATAATACTCTCTCATTATGTTTTTTTTTTAAACATATTTATTTATTGCCTGGATGAGTTTTAAGTTTGCAAGCAGAAAAAGTTGTAATAAAAATTAATATGTAAAATTATTAAATTTGTAATCTAGCCCCATGACCCGGGCAAAATGCTTTATTATGCGTTTTCTGACTCCAATTTTATAAAATTTTAAAAATACTTACTACTCTAAAGTAGCACACCCAAAGCATCATTACCATCCATTTAGATGGTTATAAACCATCACTAAAGGATAAATATCCTTTAGTAATAACCAAAATCAAAATAAATAACCAAAAAAAAAATAAATAAAAAAAAATAATAATAATGGGTATAAAAATACATTATCAGTATTTAAAAAAAGTGAATTCAGTTTTATTTATACTAACTTTTTTGTTGTTGTTTTATAAAAAGCGATCTTACCTTTTTATTATTTTGCCCCCGTTTTTTCCTAAACTATAGACTATAGACAAGATATCCTTTAATTTTCTATTTTAAAATTTTCATATTTTTTTGTTGGCTTTATCAGTTTAGAACTTACTTGTAACCTACTTGTAACATTTCAGATGGTCAAAGGAGATTTTCCAACAAAAAACATTTTTTTTTTAAAATAATTAATAAGTTTGTTATTTAATATAAATCTCTAAAGAATGAACAATCTTTCAAATAATGCCAAGGAAAAAAAGAAAAAACATCAAAAAAAAGATCAATGTTATAAAAAATGTATATAATAATTTAACATTATACAGATAACTTTAAAACCTTCAGTGCAGGATCTTTATTGAAATTTGGTGAAAAAAGCAAACAACCCTTTTTAAGAAATATGTTTGATAATAAACCACCATGTTTCTTTTACTTGTTAAAGTTATAAATATCATATAACATCATAAAAGTATTACATAATGACTTTCTGCACATTTTACTTTTCTCAATTTCAAAAATAATGAAACAAAAAATACCTATTGCACACAGCAGTTGAGAGGTATACTCAATCTACAGCGTTCCATAGTTTTCGTTTTGTTTCCAAATTACTGAAAATAAAATGCAATATTATTAAACAAACCATTTTCACTAACATCATCTTTTCTTGTAACATAACCTGCATTATAACAGATAGTCATTTTTTACTCGGAGACAAAGATGGTTCTTGTTCATGTATCTGATTAATGATGTTACAAAATTATTCACTTTTAAAATAGACAGATTCTAAGGTTTACGAGACTAAACAACATTTAAAAAAATTTATTTTAATCGTAACTCACATTTTTAATCGTAACTCACATTTTTTTAGTGCGACAAAAGTGTAGTGCAGTTTTGAAAAAAATTTATATAAATTGTCTTGTATAAAAAATACGTCTTTATTTAAAAAAATCGTTATTGGGTACTTTTACCATTTTATTATATCAATTCTTAAGAATCAAAAAACTTTTTTATGTACGAAATGTCAATTGCATCAAATACAAATACAATGGATGATTTCAAGTCAGTTAGTAAACTATATTATTTACCACCTTCAAATACTTTATGCGAGGCTGTTCCCAAAAACTCTCAATAACTTTCAGGTGAATCAATGAAATTCTGGAGATCTAGCTGGCAATTTCAATGTTTCAATTTACTGTTGTTCAAATAATTCATTTCTATCTTAGCTGTATAAACGTTAGCATTATCTTGATGAAAATCAAAATTTTCACCATCAGATACAGATGTTTCACGTCGTAAAAATTCTAACACAATTAATACATAAACCTTAACCTTCATTTTTCCGACAATAAATGAATTTTTGATTTATCATGGTACCCAAACTTTACACTAAATTATTACACCACCAGTACCCATTTGACGCTGTTACTGTGTTACTGGTTGTTAAGGCAAATTTTGAAAATAATAGTTCGATCTATCCGACCCATAAAAACAAACTTTCTTTTTGTCATAAAATTTGCTACTCTTCTTTCCATGTTACGTGGTCCTTTTCAAAAGTTATTCAATCGTTTTCGTGTTTTGTTATCTCAGGGTGTTTTTCGTTGAATTTTTTTGCATGAAAGGTGAAAAGCAATTTAAATAATACGTTGAACTGTACCTAAATTAGCAATAACACCTGCTTCTGCATCAATTTAACGTGAAGTTAATGAGGAATTCGAAGCTTTTCTCTACAAATTTTGTCTATCATGGTCACTTAAAGTTGCTGGACGCCGGGGACAATTTTGATTCCATACATATGAGGACTATAAACGTAATTTCTAATCACATTTGGCTGCGTCCTACGCATAGTGGGAACATTCCATTGAAATAGGTGGTCAAAAATATAATGGTTGTATTTATGTGGATATTAAGTCTTCATTGAGTAAAATAAAGACTTAATATAAAATTTTGTATTATTGTGTGTTTAACCATGGACGTAGAAGAGATGGACGTGCAACCTTTTGTTTTATATCAAAAAACCGCCAAAATCAGGAAGCCATGCGTTTTCACAATCTTATCAAAATATTCCGTCATTAGCAAAAAAGTATTAAAAATGGCTGCCAATCAAAGATTTTTAGTAAGTGATTTTTGTAAAAAAATAATAATCTACGTGCTTGAAAATTATTGTTCAAATCAAACATAAATAAATGATGTTTAATACAAATACAAAGATATAAAAACATATTTTTTATAATACTTAGACAAATACTTCCTGTTTTTAAGGTGGCTACCCACTAAATAAAGTCTAAAAAAAAAAAAAAAAATCTATATTTTTGAAATTTTAACCTTTATAAACAATAAAAATAAATAGCAATGGAAGAAAAGTTTATAAATTTGCCCTAATTTTGTTCCTTAAAATAGGGCAAACATCCAAAAGTTCCTTAGCAAAGGCCTTAGCAACAGATAAAACTTCTTTTCTTCAGAACTAATAGGCAGTTTTTCTCCAAAATTTTACTATATCTTAACCAGGTTGTTATCTACACTGTAAAGTTTTTCCCGAGCTAAATGCCAGCTGCCAAAAACACTAAATAAGACCGTATTTGTATTAGTAACATAATTTGTTTTTGAAAAAATCTTGTTTGTTAACCAGAGTTATTAGGCATTTATGTTGATGATGTTATTGTAATATGGGATCTGAAAACAGATATAAAAAAGCTAAAGCTAAGAAAAGACGTTTTTATAAAAGTAAATCTTTAGGCATCAAAATTACTCCAGATGATTCACCAACAGTTGCACATACATCAGTTTTTTCTAACAAAATCGATTTTTCTTTTTTGGAAGTAAAAAACACAACTCAAAAGGAAGCCTGTATTGATAACTTTAAAGTTTTTCATAACATGGAAAATAAAAAAGGACTTGCTCACATTTTCCTTCTCTCGTGCAACGATTGTGATTGGAATACAAATTTTTTAACTTCTAAACCAATTATAGAGGATCATGGAATAAATGGTCGTAAATCCTATGAAGTAAATTACTTGTTAATAATGGCTTTTCTTGAGATAGGTTGTGGTTATACTATATACATATATGAATATGCCTCCACCAATGAATTCAAAACCATTTGAGACTGCAAACAAGAACTTACAGGATTCATATGTTGAGGCAGCAGAAAAATCAATGAGAAATGCAGCAAATGAAATCAGAAAAGATGTGCTCAATGATACCTACCATAAAGATGCAATTGTCAACGTATCTGCAAATACAGATGGATCATGGCAACGTTGCGGGTATACATCTCTAAATGGTGTAGTTACCCTCATATCTAACAGAAAGTGTGTTGACATTGAAGTTCTTTCCAAAATGTGTAAGTCACTTACTTACTAACAAAGTAATTAATAGCCTACAGAATTATTATTGTTTGGCAATACGCCAAAACACAGATAGCCTTTACCAAATGAAAAAAGCAGTTGGTGCTATAATTTTCATTGTTGTGAAAATGATGACTCAAAGATACGTCATGAACTCTGTCCGATAGGAGCCAAATCTTGGTGCAAATATAACTCTGACCTAGTCACAGGGAAAAATACTTATAAGTCCAATATAAATATTCCTCAAGCAGTTGCAAATATCCTTAAACCAATCTTTTCATATCAGGATCTTGCAAATGAAAAGCTGCTGGAAAAATGTTTGCACGGTAAAACTCAAAATGTTAATGAATCTTTGAATGGCATGATATGGACCAAATGTTCGAAAAGAGTTCTTACAGGAAAAGATTCTTTAGAGATGGCTGCAGCATCTGCTGTCATTTGCTTCAATGAAGGTTCCCAGGGACTAATCCCTATATATTCCAAGATTGGTATTGTACCAGGAAAGTATACTTTGAAAGGACTTCTAAATATTGATGTTAAACGCGTTAGGGAGATGAACAAAAAGTCAGCAGAGCTAGTCAAAAAACGAAGAAAAAAACTAAGATCAATTAAAAAAGGCTACAATGATAACACAACAGAAAACGAGGGCGAATGCTATGCTTCTGGTTCTTTTACTTGAACTGTTTATTCTTTTTTTGTGTTTATTATATTTGTTTTTTGCGTTTTTCTCCATTTACAAATTTTCTACTTTCTAACAAAGATATCTTTAGTTTGAAATAATATTTTAAGTTGAAATTTTTTACAGAGCCAAAATCTAGTTAGATGAATGTGCTGAGTCAAAAATATTTGTACTATAGTATCCCATTCAAATTAAAATTTGGGTGAATCGGATACTAAATTGTGAATTTCAAAGTTTTAAATAAAAATATAAATTTTATTTTTGACTCAGCACACAGTTCATATGAAAATCAATGCTTTTGAAAAGTTTCACTTGATTTGGAAAACTCTGCATTTAGTTATCCTTGTTAGAAAACATGCTGCTTTTGAGTTAATTATGCGCATAGTTATTGACGTAATAATGAAAATAAAACTTTTTTGTATTTTCTGTCTTATTTAATTCTAATGCAATTGAAATGTTTAAATTTGGAGGGATAAAAGGGTTTCTTTGAAGATTTTTTTTATTTAGCCACCTTAAGTAAACGTCAACAACAAAATTAACACATAGAGAGCTTTTTAAAAAAGATTTCTGAATTAGATATTTTAGTCGAGTTTTATATTTTATATTTCAGTTAGTATTCTTACCATTCAGAGTCTAAATTCTTTGCTAATTTTTTTTTCAACTTTAATATATTTTTTTGTTTTTTTTTTACCTTCTTTTATTATACGTTATGTTAATAAATAAAAAAAACACCGGTTTGAAATTAATTTAATTATTCTAAGGTGATACAAACTGTTTCAATTTAATTATATTAATACTAATGAAATTATTAACTTTTATAACAAACAGTTTGCTTTCAAAACTAGGCTACTATTAACCAAATTACCTTAGTGTATAGAATCATAACTATTTTCTTTTGTTTGAAACAATAGACTTGTAACAATACAGACGCCTAATTATTGAACATATTTCGCAAAAACAACAATAAGTTGCACGTCCATCTCTTATACGTCCATGGTTTAACCAACTCATAGGCTCAGCAAGAAAGAAGGATAGGGGGTCTCCGCTTGAGTGCCGGGGGCGCCAGTTGGATTTTTTATGTGAAATTTTTGGACATAGTTTAAATAATGATTAATTTTCCAATGTTCAAAATTTTTTATGTTCATGCTTAAGTCAAAATATAATGTTCTACAAAAAAATTTCGGTAATTGAAGCCCGGGATCAATAATACCCCAAAAGGTTATACTCCTCTACCCCCTCCCTCCCCCCCCACCCAAATAAAACAAAGAAACAAAAAAATAAAAGCAAAAAATGAGGCCAATGAGTCCAAAAAAATCTTTGCTGCTATTTTATACTAAACTTAAATTTAATGACAGGTTTTAACTTTCATCAAATAATCTTTTATTTTCTAAAAGTTATAATCATATAAAGTTTACAACCCCCTCCTTTTGGGGAGAGGGAAAACATGATTATAGTTACTACAGTTTTATCTTTCCATAAAGTATTGTTTGAATCTGATTGTAAAAAGTAGTGATGTTGCTGTGACTAATAGATCTGAATCTTGAACGTTATTTTGAAATGTTTTAAAGTTTCTTTTTCCAATAGTTTTACAAGCCTAAAACCTTGACTAAATTAAATTCACGTTTATTAAATGCTGTTCTTTGTGCCGCTAACAATATTTTTTTGACGGATTCCATTTTTCAATCAAATAACGATTCATCAAGCTCTTTTGTTGGTCGACCTCTTTTTGTTGATTCATTAAATCAATTGTTTTAAAAATTTCATTAAGCCAAACTTGATTTACATTATCAAAAAATTCTTTTTTTTTGATATGATGCATTCTATAGAGCAACATACTTAGCAACAGTTAGTATTAATATCTTTCTTAAAAAATTTATTTTGTCTTCTCTGGCTTTAAACCTAGTAAAAATGTATTTAAACTCACTATTTACATTTTCAAAATTATTATTTGAAACCTGAAAAAAATGGCACAATTTGTATTAAACTGATTTCCTCCATTATCTTAGCTTACAACAATAAACTTACAAAGTAAAAAAGAGACTTTTTAACAACATTTAGAAATTCATGTGGATTTAGATCGATTACTGGGGCATTAAAAATGAATTTTATTACTATTTTTTTTAAATTCAAACCAAAAAGACATGAAATTAAAATAAAAAATAACTTTTTTCCTTTTAATAACAACACAAAAACAAATTTACTTTAGTCTTTCATGCCTTAAAGTAGTTGTTTTTTTGCTTATCGCTTATAATTAATACTTAACTTAACGCTGCCGCTGCTGCTCACCATTCGTGCACCTTTACACGGACTTTTTTACCATACTTGGCCTTTGAGTTTTATTATAAATTGCTTTACTTCTGAACTCGCCTAATGAGGCTCTTTCAAATCCTTATAATCTGTCAGTATCTGCTTAATCAGTAATGAGATCAAAAACTTTGTTTCATCAGCTTAATTAGTGATAAGATCAACAATTTTTATTTGATAACTTCTGTAGTAAAGGATGAACATTATGTTATTATTGAATTAGTAAAGTAACTTTTAAAGTCAGGTGATTTATTTAAATCATGCATTTTAGTCTTTTGTCAATTGTATTTAAATTTATTAATTTATAAAATTAATCTGTAATTTTTAAATTAAAAGACGACTCAAGAAGACGTTGCTCATTTCAAAGGTCAAGAGGTCAAACTCTTGATAAAGTTAGTGTTTAAAACACTTGCATCTCACACGGTCAACTCAATGTTACATGTTAAAGAACAAGATCGTTTAATACCTTATTTAAAAGAAGTTATAAAAATCCGTATAAAAAACCAGATTGTTTGAAAGTTTGTTTTTGAAAGTTGTTAAACATTTATTACGAGGTATTTTAAAAAACAAAAATAAGGTTGTATTTGTAAAGTTTCAAATTTATATATTTTTCTTAATTTATATATTTATCTATATATGTGTGTTATTTATATTGTGTTTTATTGTGTATATATGTGTTAAGGTTATATGGGTTTATGTTTTGTAAGCGTGTAAATATATGAAATGTTTCAATGTTTGTGGTGTGTTATATGTAATATGTTTATAGTTTGTAAGTGATAATTATGTTGTTTGCATGGTTTCAAATTGTTGTGACTGGGCTTAGTTTACAGCAAGATTGTTGACCTTGCTAGCCAAGTGGTGTACTTTGCTATAATGTCACCTGGCTTTTTTGAGAGCAAAAATATTGTCCTCGCCAGCAGAGTGGTGTATTGTCATAATAAAACACATAAATTAATTCTGTTTGTAATTAGTGTATTTCTAAAATGTGTTGAAAAAATATTGTTGAAAAAATGTGTTTTAATGTTGTTATCCTCTGTTCTTAACAATGTATGCTTTTGACAATAAATAAATTTTGTTAAAAAGCAGGCTTTACTAACAGCTCCTCCTCATTAAAATTTTTAAGAGTTTCGATTTTCTTCATTAAATATGTTTAACTCAAATTTTTTTTATTTATATAAAAGTAAGTATACAGCGTGTTGAAGCATAAGTTTTAATAACTTTTGTTAAATTTTTAGGATTTTTTGTATAGAGAATGTTTTCTTTATATTATTATTTTAATGTTTTGTATGTACATCAATATATATATATATATATATATATATATATATATATATATATATATATATATATATATATATATATATATATATATATATATATATATATATATATATATATATATATATATATATATATATATATATATATATATATATATATGTATGTATATATATAGACACACACACACAATAAAATATATAGAATTAAAATGTCTATACATATATTATATGTATAGACATTTTAATTTTTTTGCCTTAAATTATTGTCCCTTTTTCTTTAGAATATTAAATACAAAAAAAAAAAATTAAAATAGTAAAAGAAGTTTCAATATTTCCAAGTTTCTTCACTTGAAGCAAATATATGATTGTTTATAGAGGTTCTTTTAGTAGTTTTGTATTTATTTATTGCAAATCTTGCGTTAAATGCCTTTCAAAGTAATGAAAGGGTTTTGTTGATGGATGATTACATTTTATCCTTCCATGCTAGCAGTACTTGCTGAGTTGACAGGCCTTAAATTTTTTTAATTTGCTTTATTTATGAGTTCTTATACGTAAAAAATTTGTTTTTTAAATTACATTTTTTTTTTGTTTTTTTTTTTGATTAAATACTTATAATATTTTGTCAATAATTAATAACAACTACGATAAATATATAAACAATACTTAGTTGAAAATATTATATTAATTTATAACTTTAGTTTAAGTTTTTAATAAAACTATGTTATCTTAACACAATGCTATATATGGTAGAATATAATAGATTATAGTATTATGCTCTGTATTATTTGCTTACACTTTATTTTAGATAAGTTTAAAAAAGAAACTTCAACTTTTATTATATTAGGCATCATTTTTACATACTCCTTTGATGCCTAATTATGTCTAATAATTTAAGAAATGAAATTATTAGACTTCGTCAAAATGAAAGAAGGCAGGCTAGGCGAGCTGAGATAAACCGCCGTCGAAATGAAAGAGATGAGCCCAGGCGAGCTAAGATAAATCGTCGTCGAATTGAAAGAGATGAGCCCAGGCGAGCTGAGATAAATTGTCGTCGAATTGAAAGAGATGAGCCCCGGCGAGCTGAGATTAATCGTCGTCGAATTGAAAGAGATGAGCCCCGGCGAGCTGAGATAAATCGTCGTCGAATTGAAAGAGATAAGCCCCGGCGAGCTGAGATAAATCGTCGTCGAATTGAAAGAGATGAGCCCCGGCGAGCTGAAATAAATTGTAATCAAAATGAAAGAAATCAGGCTAGGCGAGAACTTAATAGGTATAATATGCATCGCATAGCAAGAAATAATATTGCTATAGAGAGTAACTACCTCGGAGAATTAAACCATAATTGTCAGTATTGCAGTGCAAAGAAGTTTTTAAATGAAACTCATTTTTTGTGCTGCCATTCAGGAAAAGTTGTATTAGCTCCTCTTTCTCTTTAACCGCCATTGTTGACTGGTTTAATGACAGGAAACCATGTTGATCATGTTGTAAATCAAAATTTTTTTAAACACATAAGGAGTTATAATTCCTCTTTATCTTTTGCTTCCTTCACTGCCGAAATAGCTCCTCCCTCAAATAATGGCCCTTTCTGTTTTAGGGTCTGTGGGCAAATTTTGCATCGTGTTGGAAATTTAAGGCCTGCAGAAGGTTGTCTGACTTAATTTATGGATTAATTGGTTTTATTGCATTTTTAATTTTCTTTTATTTATCTCTAGCTGCTTCTTCTGTTATAAGTAAGTCACTTTTACTTAACTTATTACACTGATTGATTGTTTTTATTGCATTTTTAATTTTCTTTTATTTATCTCTAGCTGCTGCTTCTTCTGTTACAAGTAAGTTGTTCTATTCACTTATACTTGACTTAATTTATGGATTAATTGGTTTTATTGCATTTTTAACTTTCTTTTATTTATCTCTAGCTGCTGCTTCTTCTGTTACAAGCAAGTTGTTCTATTCACTTATACTTGACTTAATTTATGGATTAATTGGTTTAATTGCATTTTTAACTTTCTTTTATTTATCTCTAGCTGCTGCTTCTTCTGTTACAAGTAAGTTGTTATATTCATTTATACTTGACTTAATTTATGGATTAATTGGTTTTATTGCATTTTTAACTTTCTTTTATTTATCTCTAGCTGCTGCTTCTTCTGTTACAAGTAAGTTGTTATATTCACCTTTACTTGACTTATTACATTGATTGATTGCTTTTATTGTACCTTTTGTTTTTTTATATAGCTACAAATGTGCTTTCCAGTTTAATTAGTTAATGTAATAAGTCAAGTATTAGTGAGTAAAATAAGTAAGTTGTTGTGCTCACTTGTACTTAATTTATTACATTATTTGCTTTTATTGTTTTTTTACAGTAGATTTTTTGTAAGTATTACCTAGGTAGATAGTTGTATTTATATATAATTTTTTTTTCAGGCTCGAAGTCATGGGAAGATTTCCGAAAGTATCGCTCCCAGCATCCAGGCCCTCTATCTATGAGGGCCTTCCATCGCTGGTGTTTGTATGGGGACGACTATCCCTCCTTTAGATGGAGGGATGGCACCCCATACAACACGGGGAATAGAGCGGATGCTGGGAGGAGAAGACAACGTGGCTCAAAAGTTGTCAATAATTTTTTTACATTTTAAAATGTAAAGATATTGACAACTTTTGAGCCACTTCATTTTTTTTTTTGTAATTTTTTTTTTGTAATATATTTTTGTAAATTTACTTTTGTGTTGTTTTTTAATTTTTCCCATGAATGTTAAATGTTATTAAAGTAAATCATTTAAATAAAGACACCTTTATCAACAATGCTCATTAACTAGAAATAAAAGTCACGGTCATACATTTGATAAAGTTAATGTTAATCTCAAAGGGATTTGGTTTTCACACAATCAAATTCTATGTAGCACCTTCCAGAACTAAGAATATAAGTGTGTGGTGTTAGTAGTTTAAAATATGTTTAATAAACTCAGAATAACTCAATAACCCTCAACAAAACTATGAACTAATTTTGAAATTCAAGTTGAGCTTTTTTATTTATTAATACCTCCCCTCCCAATAACTCTAATTTTCCTTAAAAAACTAATTTTTTTGTCCTTTGAAGGTGGTTCTGCTATTTAATTAATTGTTTTGATGTTTTATGCAAATAGATTTAGCTCACATTCATGTTGGTCTGTCAGGGTTATGTAAAAATAAAAAAGTAAGTTTCTTATTCGCATTTTTGAGTTTTCAAAAGTATTGATTGCATGACATGTTAATTTGTAAATAATGTGTATGATTATGCGTTTAAATAACTTTGTTCCATTTTTAGTTCCGTTTCTTATAGCTGACTTGATTATGGCTTACCTAAAGCTTAATATTTATGAAACAATGATTCAATTTAAATTGTATTATAAGTAGCTCTGTTGAATAAATTTTTTTTTTGTAATTTGTACTAAAGGTTATATTTTTGTTTTATATCAAGAAAAATATGTTTTTAAGTAAATATCTATATTTTTTTATTTTGGGATTTATTGTTTTAAATGGATATAAAAATCATTTTTGCTTTGTCTTTTATATTTCCTTTTATTATATATGAATAGGAACCATTTATGCTTTAATCATCATTAGCACTCGAAGTTTCCATTTGCATTAAGTATCGATTTTTGGCACACACAACAGGTTTAATAACTTAGGCAGTAAAAACAGCTTGAATGATTTGTTAAGAGTCTTTAAAGAAACGCTTTTACGAAAAGCATTAAATAGATAAAGCTAACTTATTTAAAATAATAAGTCTTTAACCCGTTTTTCTATATCCAAATTTACTTTTTAAATAAATGTTGATGAAAGGGTAAAATATCGTTATAGCCTACGTTAATTTTAAATTCTTTTTAAACTAAAGGAAAGAGTTTTGATACTTATTTAAATAGGGTTAATAAAATATTTTAAATTATATTATATATATTATATTTAAGAAATTATTAAAATAAATTAAATAAGATTTTTAGATGAAACAGTAAAAATAATTGTTTAAAATACGTGCGTGCAAATAATTCCTACAAATACTAAACGTAAAATAACGCTTACAAACACCAAAAGTATGTTTGCAGTGAATAAAGTTAAGTTCAAAGATAAATAGGAAGAAATGTTTAAAACTGTTTCAATAATAACATTTATTTTTAATTACTTTTGTTGTAAGTTGGGATGAAAAAAAAAGGTCACTGGAGTATGAACTCCCGGGGTGAGATGACTATATCTGTCTAAGTGTTGCGCGTCTACCAATTAGCCCATAAACGTATTTTCTATTTAGAATTTAAGATTATTTATGACGCATAAGAAGTGTAATTAAAAATTCAAAACCAAGTTTGCAACAACTGAATTTAAATAAAATCTAATTAGATGTGTATATGTTATGAACGTTAACTAAGGCGTACTTTAACGGCGTCACGTGTTGAATGTTTTAGCAATTTTTTAAGTTCGTAGTCTTTTTTACGTTTTTTCTTATTAAAATTTTTATAATCGGCATAATATTAAAATCGTTTGAAGTTTTTAAAAGAACATTTTAACAGAAATGTTTTTGTCCTATCAAAAAGTAAGTACAGTTTTTTATATGTACATTTTTAAACGATTTTAAAAAAATACTGAGGTAAGGAATAAGTATAGAAAAGGTCGGTGTGGAATAGATTTACTAAGACCCTTAGTTTACGTCCGGATAGCTATAGATAAGTATAAAAATGGTCGGTTCGGTAAAGACCCGTATTTTACGGGTCCCCCCAGCTAGTAGTAATGAATAAAAAAAATTATTTTTATTCAAAGAGGTTTTTTATTTGTTTAAAAAAACATCAATTTTTCAAAATTATTCTTAGATTATTATTAGATTGCGGATGATCGCAGCTACTCTTCTCAGGGTAGTTAGTAGACACTATAGACGAAAAAATATCAAAATATGGAAAGATACAAAATGGAACAATTTTTTAACTCTTTACCAAAGTTAAAATTTAGTGCTTTTGTAATGTATTTTTTACTTTTAATGAAAAGTTTACTACCAACTTTTTCATGAAATTTTTCATTTTTTATTTTTAATCTTTCCAATAATGTATATATTATCAATTTTTCAATGATCTATATTTTAAAAAAATAATAATTACTAAAATCCCAGTATCTTGAGAATTTTTATTAAAAACTCATTAAAAATCTAACTTCGAGAAGATTCTACCATTGATCCTGTCACATTTAGAATTTGGTAAATTCGAATATTCTTAGTGAGGGTATTAGAGGGCCATCCATAAAAGATGTCATCCAAATAGGGGAAGGGGGGGCGGAGGGCGTGGGGTTGAGTTAAAAAGGACAAAAAAGAACAAGGGGAGTGAGGGAGGTTGTCAGAAAAGGACGTCACTTTATAGATTTTTTGTTTTAGTTTAATTAACATGGAAAACTACGTAAACATGAGTTTTTGAGAAGATAATGTATGAGAATATTTTTAATTTTATTTTTAAAGGTGTAGCAGCAGATTCAAACATCATTACAAGATGAAATAATTTTTTTTGGAGTTAAAAATAGGGAGGGGGTCAGGATTTTATGACGTCCTTTTTCAGGGGGGTATAGGGAAAAAGGACAACCGGTGACAAAGGTGGGGGGGGGAGGGAATCAAAAATTGGCTAAAAAATAGTGACGTCCTTTATGGATGGCCACTTGTAACAAAACCCACTATTAGACGTAATGATTGAAGTAAGTCACTTTTTGATTTTTAGCTTTGTGATTTCCCACTGTGCAATGGCTCTAGCCGTGTAACTAACGGAATGACCCATTTTTGATAAGCACAAACCATTATAAATTAATTGGTTATTTTATAATTAATAAAAAAAAACCTAAGTTAAATTTTTAACAGCTCACAACATTTTACAATTAAAGAGCTTACTCGTTGTAGTTTAGGACACTTTTGTGAAAAACGCTATTTTAAAAAAAAACGAAAAGTAAAACTTTTATTTAGCCAGGTTCCAAATATAATACATTGAAATTTTTAACAAATCTGATTAAATTAGCTCCTCTTTAATTATATTGTAAAAATTTAAATAAACTTGAACATTTTGTATATTTTAAGTTGCACGAGATGTTGTTAAGAACCCTCATATTTGCCTAATTCGCTCATCGAAGGAGAAGTTTTACATTGCCATACTTTACTATGTTAATGTTTGTAACCTATTTTTTACGGTGAGCGAAAGATACTATGACTCAAAATGATGTTTTGATTTTTAAAAAAACGAAGACCAGATATATTACTGAATTGGGTAGAAATGTAGGAGAGTGCTTTTACATTGACTAATTTAGGGATAACATGCAAGGGAATGCTGCTACATCGACTGAGGTTTTGGGTTAGGGTTGCCATATATCCGGATTAACTTAGAGATCTCCGGATTTTAAGGCAAAAAATAAGACTCCGGGGGATTTCAGAAAAAAACATGAAATCTCCTCTTTTTGAAGGTTTTTATTTAATTTTTATAAAAATTCGATAATTAATACTTAAATGTATAGAACTGAAAATTTAAAAACTATTAAATGTAAAATGTTTTTAGTCACTAACAATTTATTGAAAATGCTCACATAGAACGTGTTCTCTTATTTTAATTACACAATATTGAAAAATGCGCACGCTCTAAAGTTGCAAAAACAAAAGTTGTGACCGATAAATTATGTTAAGGTAATAAAGTATTTTGGTTGCTGTTACACAAGAGATAGTTCTTTCAATTTAAAGTTTTAAAGTAAAAGAATTGCTGCACTCTCAATAATGTCTTGTCTAAAAAAAATGTTTTCTAGTTTAAAAAAGAGAAGAAGCTAAATTCAAAATTTTCCCAGCTGGATCATTTACTTATGTTTCTCTCAAATATAAACAAATTACCTTATGTTAATTTTATTTATCTAATTCATCTTACAATCATAATTAAGCCAAGATTATGTAAGTTATGTAACCTTTGATCTATTATTAATCTCAATAACAAGAGTTAAAAGCTTTAAATTGAATGAAACTTGACAGTATCTTTATTTGGGATCAAGTTGAAGACTTCATTGTAAACAAAAAAGCACCTTTTTAATGTTAATAAACCATTGAGCCATGATCAATTTTCAAACTTATGAGTTCAATAAGTTTTTGTTATCAAACAAAGACTTATTTTTAAAAATATATGGTAATCACTCTTTTACAGTGATTACCATATGGCAACCCTAGTTGGAGTTAAGGCAGGTATAGTTCAATCGATGTAATAACACTCTCCTACATTTCACCTTAAATCAGTAATATATCTGGTCTTCGTTATTAAAAAAAACCTCATTTTGAGTCATTGTATCTTTCGTTTACCATATTATACATTAGAAAAGAGTGGCATGTCAAAAACTTATTTATTATAAAAATATTTTGACTTTTATGATTGTTTTCTGCTGTTATTTACGAATAATTCGGTTATAAATCAATTTGAGTAATTCGGTTATAAATCAATTTGAAACGTTATTAGATTAAATTCATTGCAATTCGAAAGCATAATTTTATGTATATAAAATTATGCTTTCGAATCCCCCCTCGTCACAAAATTGTAACACTTAAGAAGCAAGTTGTCACAAAACCACCAACCCCCCCCCACTCCGCCCTTATAGCGTGACGTAGTTTATGGACTTTTCCTTATTGGAATGCTTGCCG